GTGGAATGCATTGTCTTCTGATCGAGCGCGAGACTTTAATATACCAAGACAATAGTTATAGCGCGAGAACAAAACGACGACACAGAGACAAGGACACGAAGGACAACAAAACGACGACACAGAGACAAGGACACGAAGGACAACAAAACAACGACACAGAGACAAGGACACGAAGGACACGTGTCCTTCGTGTCTCTGTGTAGTCGCTTTGTTCTCGCGCTATAACTATCGTCCTTCTTGTCTCTGTGTCGTCGTTTTGTTCTCGCGCTATAACTATCGTCGTGCCATACCAACTAGCCCAAACTGCCACACTTCTAAGTGAATATACCAAGTTTCAAGAAATTTCGTTCGGCCACCGTTGCCGAAATTGGAAGAAACATTCCGAAATAGGTGACGCCAGGCGTGGAGATTTCAGCGGGATAATTAAAAGTGAAACTCTTCACATCGATTTTCCCGCGGTTTATGAAACCTACGGCGGTGAACTTGACGACACTGGCGTTTTCCGAATACAATTTATCGGACTAAACTTATTTAATTGTGCCACTTTAGCGTCCCATTAACACGGACAAATGAAGTCATTTCTCCCATGAAGATAAAAGATGAAGAGATCGAGATCAATTTTGAGGCAAGCATTCCGTAGCGAAGGTCACGTGCCGACTGGGTACGCAGATTTTTCAGTGCGTGTACCTTAAATATTAATAATTCTTAAAGTGTCTTCTGAAAGACGCTTATTTCTCACTGTACCATTTGTGACTTCTTTTTTTACCTCTTTTGGCCGATGCGGTACTTTTCAGTAGCCAGGACAGAACATAACGTGTAGCTTCATACATAACTACAGTTAACTATTTACCACAAACACTGGTCTAACTGTGCGGCAACTAAAACTTATCTCGGGTGACGTTCACAGATAACGGCCAAGGTAATTCTCGCGTTTTTTTTTTTTCGTTCGTGATTTTTTATGCCTGTCACTGCCATCTTTTTTCAGGGCACATTACGAAACATACTGTCGTTTTTTATTTGGCTGTGCTTAGCCACGCGCCTTTTGTGCGTACTATATAGTAATCAAGCTGTTCCCTGTGCCAGGGCTACTCGAGCTGTTCTCACGGCTCATACCCACCGTTCTCGTAACATGTTCCTGTAGGGGGATACATTTCCATTTCAATTTCAAAACGAGCAGACGCTTGATACGAAAGAGGCTATATTCACGTTGATTCCAACGTTGTTCATTCTGGCGTGAGAAATGAAGCGATTGAGGCTCGTTCCTTTTCCATTTTTTTTTTTTTTTACGGGGCGGTTGCGGCTCAAACCACGAAAGTGAGCAGCCGTTTAAAACTTATTCTGCGTTTCAGTTCTACCCAGAGGATCATAAATCAAGCGGGCCTTCAGTTTCCATTATAACTGGTACGTTGGCACCGACTCGGCAGCATGCAACGGCGCCACGGCCGCTGCAGGAACCGACCCTGGCAACAGTCCATGTCTGAACGCCGCATCATTTCGACTTGACTGTGTGCTGCGATATTCAACTTCTGCTGCGGCGTGTTCTTTTCTGAAGAAAATTGTACGCACCATGTATACTGTGGTGCGGATGTCCGGCCGTGTTTGGAAAGCGTCGAGTTTCCGACGCGGATGTAAAAGCCGAGTGGTTTCGCAAACGTTCATCCTGTGATTTGTTGCGGCGCTAAAGAAACGCATCGAGAAAGAAAAAAAGTTGATGACCACCCGTCTGTTACACGAAGCCATGGACTTGGTAGAAGAGCGAGCGCCCCGAAAAGTGGTCATTCCTGGGTTCGATCCGCGGACCGAGACGAACTATAAGAAGCTTTGTTTCTGAAAAAAAAAAAATCAATGTGGATTGTCTTGCGGCTGCGTGCTACAAACGGCTGGTTGTTAATTTCCCTTTCCTAACCGTCACGCCACCTCGCGGGATTTCGCAAACCCAATTTGTAGTATTAAAGAAACGCATGTACGACAGAAGTATGAATCCGTCGGCTAAATAGAAAAAAAAGGAAACTTAAAAACAAAGGAAGCAATTTCGACCTAACTTAAAGTGGTGCACTTAAACGGTGCACTGAAGAAGGCGCGCCGTCATTTTTTGTGAGCGCCGCACGGATCGATAGTTGAACTCAGTGAGACGACTGATAAGCTCGGCTTCTGCGAACGACGTCAAGAGTTAATTGAGTTTCAACATTTCGAACAGTGTCTTTTTCTTATCACCAGATGTACTCCTCCTTGCTTCAGCCCGGGCGTAAGCGAGAAGACTGATTTTATTGAGTTGGCCGGCTCGGAGTCCATGGACGACATCCTTTGCAGCCTCTCTGACGGGCCAGTCACTTTTTATAAATAGTCAGCTTTGTTGTAAGAAAAAGCTTTCGACTGTACAATATACTGAAATGGTAGTTTTGCTTTGCGCAGCACATGAATTACTACGGAAAGACCCATGCTGCATGCTGCCAGGGCGAGAGATGTTCAAACCCCCAGAAATGTTTCAATTTTGCACGTATCATATGCGCGCTCACATGCAAACGCACACACGAACATACATAAAGTATGGCTGAAGATTCCTACCCCCCCCCCCCCCTCTCCAGCATATTATACTGGTCCACCACATGACAGCTTCTTCAGAACAAGAAAAAGTGCAGCCGGCAACGTACCGAACTTTATCGAAAAAAATAATTTGGCAGCCTTGTTTCAGAGTCGTAAGTGGCATGTTCCTGAAGCCTCGTAAGAAAGTTACTGTTGTACGTTTAAATACATATTGACGTATAACTGTTTACGAAAAGAACGGAGACAATGTGCACGGAAGTATAGACCTTCTCACAGGAGAGAAAAAAAAAACGCCTACGCGCGTGGGAGTACAACAGCTGATGTCGCATCCTCGGCAGTGCATTTTCGGGGGGTCACGCCTGTTTAGTGCAGACCAGAGAGGTTTATGGTGGCACCAAGGAAAAAAACGCCGTATCTAAATTGTATGCCCCGAGTGTTCCTAGTGCCTGACGATAGTTATAGCGCGAGAACAAAACGACGACACAGAGACAAGAATGACACGAAAGACACTTGTCTCTGTGTCGTCGTTTTGTTCTCGCGCTATAACTATAGTCATGCCATACCAACTAGCCCAAGCTGCCACACTTTTAAGTTGGCCTTTGCCAAGGAACCATGCTGACGAACACTCCCAAGAATTACATATTGATTCATACACAGAAATACCCGACAAGGTGGAGAGGGAAGCGCCTTTCGTCGTAGTTCATTCATTTGGTAGAGCTTCGCAAGCGCAATTCGAACACCGTGGGTTAGGATCCCACCGACAGAAAGGGGGGCGGGGGGGGGGTCTTTCCGTTGAGTTTAATACATGTCACTTTACATTATTTCTACCACAGGGGTGCGCGGAGTGGGTTGGGGGGACGATGATTCACTGCGTCACCCCCATTCACTTTTAGTTCAATGCCAAACATTTGCGCATTAGGTGACTACTACCTCCCCCCACCTCCTTTCCAGCGCGCACGTGCGATTATTAGTGCAGAACAGTTGAAGACAAAGTCACCTATGCTTCCCCCGACCTAATCATGCGTTGGTTTCATTTGGTTGCCCTAAACAAAGAACCCCGTGGCTTGCAAGAAGCCAGTAATTAACTCTTAAGACCTGCTTGGTGGTGGTTCAGAAGGTGGATATTGCATTGCAGCCAGCATGCTCTTTCGTCCGTACCATTAAACGCCACGGACGTCTTATTACCTTAAGCCGTTCGTACAGTAGCACGATTATGCAGCAGCCCGCCATGATTAGGCCTAGCATAAATTCTGGTTGCACGGGCGGACTTGGCCCGACCGCAACGGCCGCTGATGGATCTGCTGCAGCATGACGGAGACTGCGGCATTTACGAACGCCATCGCTTTGTTTTCGCCTAGCTGCAACGGTGCTTGCCTCTGAGCGTTGTTGCGTCTACAACGGTCTTCGAACGCACGACGTGGGAACAAAACAATGCAAGTGTCTCGTGAACAGTTCTTTCTTCCTTTCGTGTGAACATCTTCGGTACCACGTGCAGAGAGGGCGAGGTCCATGCTTTTGTGAGTCAAGCAATTCATCGCGATGTCGCCGCATGCATTTGCAAGGGTCGCAGCCCACGCTATATATGACGTGTTTAGTTTTGTTTAATTAACCGCTCCATTTTCTGTACACAGCAATTCGCAAAAATACAACAGTTATGGTTTTTTTTTTTTTTTGCCAGTAAGAGAGCAGAACTACTTTACTCTGCAAGATTTCAAGATTGAAATATAGGCTCCGTGAGTACTGACGTGGCCGGTATGAGTTACGAAAGTGAAAGTTTGTTGGAGCAGTATCTATCCCATTTTCTCATTAAGCGAGTTAATTATTATGTGGGGTTTAACGTCCCAAAACCACCGTATGATTATGAGAGACGCCGTAGTGGAGGGTTCCGGAAATTTCGACCACCCGGGGTTCTTTAACGTGCACCTAAGTCTGAGCACACGGGCCTACAACATCTCCGCCTCCATCGGAAATGTGGCCGCCGCAGCCGGGATTCGATCCCGCGACCTGCGGGTCTGCAGCATACCTTAGCCACTAGACCACCGCGGCGGGGCTCATTAAGCGAGTGATGTTACGCAAAAAACTCTTTTAAGCTCATAGCACTGCGCGGAAACTCATTGACAGAAATCAACGCTGTCTAGACATTTCATGCTTAATGTCTTTGCTATGTGAGTGAATTGGTAAGACAGTAAATCAGTGATTCTCTGCAAAGACATTACTTAGCATACGAAACGGGAACTAATTATTTAAACTTGCTTTGACATTTTGGTGGTAGGTATGTGCGTTACCTGGATTCCCGTTTTTCTTTCGGTTGGGTGGGGGGGGGGGGGTCATTCATCAGCGCACACACACACACACACACACACACACACACACACACACACACACACACACACACACACACACACACACACACACACACACGCACACACACAAAATGTTTCAGAAACAGTACTCACGGATGACCATAGCCAGCAAGGGCAGGACGACGAGAAGCCGCAGTGGTGTCATCTCGAGTTGTCGAAGTCTTCGTCGCCCCAATTAGAAGTCAAAGAACGCACTGCTTGTCACACTGTCGTCATCCGTCACAAGTCGCGAGGGTCGTGGCTTCGATTACCGTCGCCGTGGCCTGAGCGACATTTGCACACAAACGGCAAATTCGTGTCACGATGCATGCGTCTGTCTAAACAAATAACATTCCAACTCGTCATTTGACACGAAGAGATCAGGGGGTAGGGAAAAAGGTTATCCTAAACTTGAATGAAAGGAACCGGCAAGCGACAAGCTCCAATCGACGGAACGACACTTCACAAAAAAACGCGCACTTGGCATCCAAAAGCCGGCGCCGTTGTTGACACCAGCAGAGCAACGAACCTCGTTGTCGCGGCCGCTTTTCGGAGAAATCCGTCTTGCGTGCAGACATGCGGGTGACCAAGTTGTTTCTCGAAATCGTCAGCGTCCGGTCCCCGTGCGCCCAGTATTTCCCCTTCCACGCACAGCGGCTCGCCGTGTGCACGGAACTACCAGGCACTTTCTACCGACCAGCCGCCCCGGTTCATACAAGTACGAATATGCAGCGGAGCGAAACAAAACACCAGCGTCAACGCTGGCCCACTCGCAGTCTTGATTCCGTCAACCAGTTAGGCCTACAGACTCGCCAGGAAACTAAACCGTTTCGAACTTCGCAACTGTAGTAGTAGCTTGTCTGCAGGCGTAGCAGTGCCGATTAGCGCCGCGGCAAACGGCAACCGGCGGGCCACGTAGTAGGCGACGAACCTCCGAGGCGATGTGTGGGTAGAACGGTACCTCATGATCCTCGGCACCGCCAGTGTTTACGAACGCAGAACACGGCGCCGCGACGAAGTCGACACGACGAGTCGTCGGCACCCGGCATTAGCATGCAGCCAGCACGGCTGCCGCACCGGCGGCATTCTTTGCCAGACTGGCGAGGGGTTGGCTGGCTGGGCGAGCCGACAGGGGAGTCCACTTCGAGCCGTGGGGGGAGGGCGCCGCCGGAGCGCCCTTGGCTGCTGTGGCGGCGGCGGCGGCGGCTCGAAAATCGAAGCCCCGACGACTAGACGACGACGCTTTCTTTGTGTATGTGTAGCTGCAGTCGCTGTTATGCTTCCTCTCTTCGTTCCGTGCATGTGTGCGCCGCCGGAGGAGGGGACGTCGCCGCGTCTGCCATCTCTCCCACGTCCTCGGCTCGTTGTTTTGCCCACCTGTGAGCAGACTACGTCGGGCCCACTAGACATGCGGAAATGACTGCTTCTCGAAGTCACCTCTGCTCATCTAGTTTATCAAAACACCGCTGGCTGCTTCCCGTGAGGAACGAACGTGAGGTGTTGCCAGAGATTTTTTGAATAAGCAAATAGTGTTCATTCAATTCCTGGCCAACATTTTGTGAGGGACCGAGTGATGATCATAATAAACGTTCATTCATCTCTGGTAACACGATGTTGCGCACATGCGCGGTGCCGGTTAATACGCAATACCTTTCGTTTCACTCTCTTAAAAGTTACGAAGGAGCTTAAAGTTATAAAAAAGAAAAAGAAACGCGAAGCCAGCTCAAACACATGCACAGATTAGTGTTGTAACAAAAAAAAAGAAAAAAATAACGAGGTTTTGTAGTCAGCTGAGCATACAAGCGCGTTAGAGCTCGAGTCTACTAGATATTAGCCAGGCTCCCAGTGAGCTTCCTATAATGAGATTTCGTCCTTCCCTCTCGTTCTCACTAAAACATAAAGGAAATGTCGGCTCGTGCAGGCAACGGGCTTTTTTTAACTGGATGATGACGCATTCCAGGAATCGTGTTTTAGATCTCTGTCCTGCAACTCGCAGCTGGTATAGCGCAAATACGATGGATTCGCCTTAGCAGGTCCTCTTTTTCTCTTTATGATGTGTCAGATTGAGGTTCTTTCCCCCCTCCTCCCGTAATGATATCATAACGACCCTGCTCCACGCCCTTATATATATATATATATATATATATATATATATATATATATATATATATATATATATATATATATATATATATATATTGTGGCCCAGAACAATGGCATACCGCAAGAGCAAAATATGTTCCAGTAACGTGACGCTCAGTTTAGCGAGTGTGTTGTTGGTGAGGATATTGATTGAATTTTGTGCGGACACTGGCATGAACTGACCCTACCGATTCCTATATGTATATATAACCCTCCGCTCACCCTTCGTTTCCAAGTGCCCCGTTTTCATTACACATAGGTGTAAATTGATTCGTTGTACTCTACGTACTGTTTTTTTTTTAAATTACTGTCATGAAAGCCTCTTTCAGTATATTCTTGAGAGTCTGTGAACTACCAGCGTGAGATTTTATTGTGTGTGTTCACGATAACGGTTCGTTTCTTATTCTTTCTTATCTATCGCGTATATCATCCTCCCTTCCCCCCCGCAATGTGCAGGATATTCAACCGAGCCAAAAATTGGTTAACCTACTTGCCTTTTCCCTTCATCTATCTATCTATCTATCTATCTATCTATCTATCTATCTATCTATCTATCTATCTATCTATCTATCTATCTATCTATCTATCTATCTATCTATCTATCTATCTATCATCTAAGCGTTTATACGCATGTTTTCCGACTGCCTGCTCTGTCTTAAAAGTTCGTTCATGTGTAGTTTTGTGACGTTACGGTTTCAGCTACCTCCCGCCACACTCTAACATTATCAATCATCTGACAGGCTAAACTAAATTATTAAAAGCGTCTCAAGGGTGAACAGAATTGTTGTGCTTAAATTCCAACTTTCGCGAGATGTTACTGAAGTTGCAATATTCGTACGAAAAAAAAAAAAAAAGATGCTAGGTACCATTTAGTTCGAATTTCTGAAAGTAGGAAGCAATTGGTTTTTTTTTTTTCCTCTCACAAAGAGTCCCTCTCACAAAGAGCGGCGGACATTTTAGTATGTAACGACATTGTAATTGTAAAATGTATTTAAAAATATAAAATACTTCTTTAACCTACCGAGTCAAACCACCGATCCTAATACACGATAACCGTTGCGCACTGAAACGAGATTTCCAGCCGTGATAAGTGTACGGTCATAAGCTATTTATAGCAAAAACAAAAAAAGAGAAAGAGAAAAAAAAACAATGTGCAACATTTCTGTGTCAGTGCTCCTTTAAAACGCGTCCAGCTTGCGAAAGATACATTTAGTAAACTGGTTCCAATTAAAAAAAAATGAATGTTGGGGCTTATAGTATGAAGAGTATAACGTTCATATTCGCAGCTGGCGCTTATACGTCTGACGGCATAGCACTTCAGTAAACGATGGTCGCATGAGCAAAGATCACGTCGTTTGACCGTACGTACCGATTGACAATACGTGACTAAGCTGCGTAACTAAGAGGTTGAGCTATTGGATCATGTACTCACGGATCAGAACTGTAAATCACACCGCTGACAAAGGAAAGAGCACGATTGCTGACTGCCGTGTCGCGTGGTCTATACGGCGGGACGTCATGCATGAGAAGAATGTCTCACTGATTGCGCTGCAGACGGCAGAACGAAAGACCGCATACCGCTTCGTTAAGCGTTTAGCAATCAATTATGATTGGAGGCTAATTGCCCTATACGATTTCTGCAGCTCGTAACGCTCGTCTTGAGTGAAGTTCGCTTGGCTTCACCACCTCTCGCGTGTTGTCACCTGGCCCTCTTAACAAGCATACGCCTATTTCTGATATGCATGCAGGGTTGCGCGATGCTTCGCAGGGCCTTCTGCGGTGGTGTAGCGACAACTGTTTGTTACCAGCCAAAATAACATTGTCAAGCAAAGCAACTTTTAAAGACGATAGTCTTTCTTGGGGACCTTCGACGCAAGAACATTGGTCTGTCTGTCTATCTATCTATCTATCTATCTATCTATCTATCTATCTATCTATCTATCTATCTATCTATCTATCTATCTATCTATCTATCTATCTATCTATCTATCTGTCTATCTATCTATCTGTCTATCTGTCTGTCTGTCTGTCTGTCTGTCTGTCTGTCTGTCTGTCTGTCTGTCTGTCTGTCTGTCTGTCTGTCTGTCCAGCGTTACCGGAACAGGGAACCAGCCGAAGCCCCGAACGGCCGATCCATCCGCAGCGCCCACCAATGTTGCTCAAGGATCAGCGTTTATACGTGTGCGATTGTCAATTAAAAAGCGATTATTGCGCATATCTGAGGCACCATCACAATACGTATATATTCTGCATGTTCGTTTTTACTAGAAAAAGCATACGTAAGTAATTCTAAGGGCCGTAGCGCTTATCACGCTGCGCTGACCACGCAACGCTGGCACGAAGAAGCGAGTGCTTCCAACGCTTTGCTAAGACGACACGGTGGTGGCACCTACCCGTCGCCTTCCGTTCTACACCTTATCCCCTTTGAGACGGGCGCGCACGCCCGTCTCAGGGCCACGCGCTTTGTTTTTTCAAATAAAACTGCCAGATGGCGCTCATGTCTCTTGTGTGGCGTGCTTGATGCGCTGGTTCGCCTCCGCTGCACGCTCGAGGCACTCTAACGAGCGCATCCGGAATACCATTCACCGATTTTCTTGCGCAGAACATCAAATAAACCTTTTTTTTTTTTCACTCTCTCCGCATGCAAGACTATCGTCTTTCGACGACATTTGCAGATTACATACAGATACGAGGCCATTTTTTTTTTCTCGGTTCGGCTGGGCGTGGAGTTCGCATGTATACTTCACATCCTTTCCCTCAAAATTTTACTTGGCTCTGACCTGTTCATTTTTCTCTTCTATTCGGCATTGCCTGAGATATTTTTGTGGCGCGGGCCGAGGATTCATTTTTTTTCTACCTCGCAATTAAGGGTGCACTCAGCTGCTCACCTGAAGGTCACGGACACCATGGTCACGGGTTCGATCTCGGCCGCGGCGGTCGAATTTCGATGGTCTTGAAAATGGTAGATGCCCGTGTAGTGTCCGATGTCGGTGCACGTTAAAGAACACCAGATGTTCAACACTTCTGGAGCCCTTCACTACGTTATGTCTCATAACAACATTGTTGTGTGGGAACCTAAAACCCCAACCGGAGAGTAATTATTTGGCCGAGTTCGTACATGTTAAATGTTGAGCACAAAGCTGAACCACGAAAAGAAATATGACAAAATAAACTGCACATCAGGAGGCAGCAGCAGGCAACCGGACATTCATACAAATCGCCCAGTATAGCGCACGTTCCATAGTTCGCGCTTTGCCCCGCCGCGGTGGTCTAGTGGCTAAGGTACTCTGCTGCTGACCCGCAGGTCGCGGGCTCGAATCCCGGCTGTGGCAGCTGCATTTCCGATGGAAACGGAAATGTTGTGGGCCCGTGTGCTCAGATTTGCGTGCACGTTAAAGAACCCCAGGTGGTCGAAATTTCCGGAGCCCTCCACTACGACGTCTCTCATAATCATATGGTGGTTTTGGGACGTTAAAACCCGCATATCATCATCATCATCATAGTTCACGCTTTGTTTCAAAAAGGAAGGCTTGCGCGAAAACAAAAACTCGGCATGTGTCTCACATCTCAGCACATCGTCTCCGTTGATCGGACGCAGGTTTTTGTGTTGCTTTTATTGCGCTATCCTTTCTTTGCGATAAAAACATTCATCACCATCATATACAATGGCCACCATCATGCAAATTGACTATGCGCACGCTTGATTGCGCACGCATTTCATTTGCGCGCACGAATTCACGTGTACGTGTGGTGCGTGCATAATAATTCGTAGTTTTTTTGTTCGTCTAAGAATACAGTCGCGTGCGTCTACGCGACTGGCGTGCGTGTACTACCGCAGTCATCATGTGGAACTAAGATAAATGGTGTCGGCAGCTTTCCGCTCCGGTGCGACGAAAAATCTCTCGCGCCAGCCCTTCGCGTTCCGCTTCGACAACCGTCTGCATTTCGGC